TGGATCACATCATCCTAACTCACTCTAAGTGCTAAACAGTGGGACCCATACTGAAACAGAAAATCTTGGGCAACTCTTGAGAGGACAAGTGTAACTTAACTGAAAGATAAAGGGGTTATGTTGGCATTGCAATTATTACCACGGGCAGATCACAGGTTTAAAAAAATTCTCAAAATAGCTACAACCATAGTGCTGTTACCATTGACAACAACAGGTCACCACCTAAAAGTGGTATTAACGGTCCCAAATCATTATGCTATAATACCACCTAAACATTGATGTTGCCCTGTCTAGCTAGTCTTAAGTAGTTTCTTATGGGTATACATGCTCTACCAGTGCCAGATGGGAAAGAGCTACAATTGATCAGAAAACCTCTTTTGCCAGAATCCAGTTGTTATTTATCAATTCTGATGTACAAGCAAATTACACACTCCATTACCACTGATCCACGATGTTGACATTCTCAGATATCCACATTACCACTGATCCACGATGTTGACATTCTCAGATATCCACATCTCACATCGGTTTGATGACCTTTAACAGGTTTACAGGTGTTACAGTATGTGATGTGCAGTTATTTTATGCTGAAAGCTGTAGAATCTGACAGGTCTCTCCTGGATTTTTAAATGCAGTTAAGCAGGTCTGGGATAATCACAGGTGCTTGCTGTCAGTAAGTAGCGCTGTTGGACTGGGGTGAAGGTGGATGGACCCCGAATCCCCAGGTGCCTTGCGCTTTGCATGCTCGTATCACGAGTACACGTGCAAACTCCAAAGCAAGCTTCTAAAAACGGATGATGGCACACGTTTTTGTCATCTCATAGACATAAGATGAAGGAGACTGCAAACGGCAGGCGCAAGACCTTCAATTTTCAATTGATACCTGTATATAATTTTCTAATAATGTTAACATAAAAAGTCTGGGTTATAATATGTGCCATATTTCAGTAGAAATTCGTGAGGCCCATTCGTGAGAAAACGTATAGTACATTTAAACTTCATTGTTTCTAAAACATAGTGTACATTTCTTTAACTTAGAAACAGCTCTGATTTCTATAAATACATACCCAGATTGCACCTGTGTATCATAGATGAGGTCTGCGATCCTGGTGATGCGGAGGGTTATAATCCTGCATATTTTATAGAAAGATTTAAAATGTCAATGAGAAAAGATCACAAAACAGGCTAACTTCTACTAATCAAAGAACTAAATGATCTGGGTGAGTCGTTACATCTCATCTGGAGCAGAAACCAGAAGCCCGCCGGGCTACCCGGGAACAGAGCTGCAGACCACAACGTTACAATATTCCGTTTCAGCTCTTTGAAACATTGTGCATCTTGCAGTGCCCTCTAGTGGCTACGGACGTAATTCCTTTAATTTACAGCACAACTCTCCTCGTTCTAAGGATCCCTCCCTAACTGCTGTACTGTACAAATAGGTTACAGTGTAATACACCACTGAAGTACAGCACTAAGATGTGTGACCCGCGGCAGCCTTAAGTCTTATGGCTTCCGATTTTAATTTGTGCATTGAAATGCCAGTCATTTGTGCAGAAATAAAATGCCCAAACTATTAAAACCTTTTTTGTTTTGTTTTTTGCTGCAAAGGTTAAATACAGTAATTAATTAGAAGACATTCTCTGTAAATCGACTCTTGTATGTTTTGAAACTTGTGATTTTATAAAACGTTTTGAATTATACTTAAACTGAATCTGACTCTCAACTAACTCCACTGACTCTCTAACTAGACTGGAACTAAATTGAAGGATGCGTATTCATTATGAACGGAGGCGCGGTAAATTGAAATAATTACTGTACAATTCCTCCTTGTTGGTTAAAAACCGCAACACATTCTGTTCATGAATACAGTAATAAATTGTAATTCTAAAATTAAAATAATCATGTAAGAATATATAAGATAATACAGAAGGTGTAAATACTGTAGTCATCATAAGGAGAAGTAAACAACTTACAAGAATATATCTTGAAACAATAATATGTTCTCTTTGCTGTATTTTATATGGATAACTGAAAATATAGTAAGATTAAGAATCATTCAGTGATATAAAATTCGAATTCCTACTTTCTGCCACAAGGTGACAGTACTTAACTACAGTACGGACTTCTCTTGCTGCTTGTGATATAGGGCAATACTGATGTAATGTATATAGGATTCTTTTATATATACGATTGATTATTGTAAAAAATACAAAGGAGAACTTTATTTCAACTTACAGAAATACAGTGGCTGCTGTTTAATTTTCATGATAAAACACGCAATAAAAGCTTTATACGTGTAAATATGCAGTTCAAACTTTTGATGAAAAAACATTTTCGTCGTAGGATTGTAGCAGTAGTGATATAAAGATTCCATGACTTGTGTGATTTCTTGCCTTTGGCATTTCGTATTTGTTCTTAGCAAATTTCTGTTTCTTTTGTTTCAGAAAACGTAATTAATTATCTTGGGAGAAACATACTAACGAGTTTGTTCTTAATAAACGGGCTTCGAAGCAACGTGACACAAATGCTGTCAGACCTCGATATTCGTGCTGTCATTGAGGTATCTTTCCTGCGATATATTTTTGATGGACCACTAAAATATGCTCACAATACAAATATAAATGGCAATAGTATAGTAACACAGCAGAAAATCAGGGACCACACATTTATTCTACATGTAGCCACTGAAAAATGAATGAGCAGAAAAATAGAACACGTAGCCTGTCTCACACAAACTCGTCTGTATGGAGAAAGCAAACAGAGAAACTGATCTATGACAGAAACAGGGAAAATGTAGAAAACTACTATCACTAAAATACTATCACAAAATGGCAATTTCTCTTATTTCTTTGAAAAGATGAAAGGCTTGGTTGCTTAATTTGCGATTTTGAAGAACAAATGAAACATCAAGTGCCCCCTGTATTAAGTTATCTTTGTCAATTTACATTAGTAATGGAGTTTAATGTGCAAAGTATTTCAGGAGGCACTCTAACACACTGTTATGGGGTATCATCCAGTGGAAGGAATAGTCACACACCTGAGATCTACATTAGTACAGTGCCAAGAAAAGGTCAGCTGGTCTGAGAAAAGTTACACCATGCTCATGTGCCTCAGAAGCTGGGTAAGACTATTATAAGACAAGACCCAAATTTAGGAATGATTAATTAGAGAAGCTTCCAGCTGTTCATTTTCGCTTAACAAATTTGAATATGCAAATATTCCCAGGTAGAACTGCCATTCTGATTAATGAAAAATGTAAATGTACACCTCTTCATTGTCACTCCCAAAGAACAGCGCAGTTGTGTTGTCAATCTTCGCCTTACCATATCTGGGCTGACCTAATAAGAACAGTGTGGAAGATCTGAATGTATACATGAATGGTACTGCAAAATACAAGCAGATTGTCTTGAGTCCCAGATCCTAATATCCTCAGAAAGGCCTGAAAAAAAGTCCTGTTATAACATTCCAAAGTGCTCAACAGGAATTACAGTATAAGCTATTGTATCCCTCATGTTAAGGAATTGCTGCTTCAATGCAAACATCATTGAATTAGATTATCATTAAGCATCTGAAAATAGGTTAGCTTATTTACACTATTTGTACAATAATTTTGGAATGATACAAATACTCTGTTCTAAATTACTTATGTACTTTAGAAAAGTACACTACACTTTACAATTAGGGCCCTACAACCTGTCATTCTATTAGGGGTTTCACCTAGGAAAATATTACAAGGAAGAAGAATCAAAGAATGAAAAAAAAAAATTAAATATACGCAGTAAGAGCAGCACAGTAGCACAGTGGTTAGCATTGCTGCCTTGCAGGGCTGGAATCCAGGGGTGATACTTGCATGGTGTTAATATGTGCTCCCTGTGTTTGTGTGGGTTTCTGCTAGGTGTTCTGGTTTCCTCTTACAGTCCAAAGACATACTGGTAGGTTAGTTGGCTTCTGGGAAAACGGGTCCTAGTGTCTGTGTGTTTGTCTGCCTTGCGATGGACTGGCATCGCCTTTAATATAATTGCAATATACTATATTGCACCCATTGCTTGCTGGGATAGGCTCCGGCTCACCTGGCAACCCTGAACTGGATGAAGCAGTTAGAAAATGGATAGACAGAAGAAGCCATCTGGGCAAAAAACATATCAACATTTCAGGGACATCCGCACACCTGCTGTTTTTTAGGATTTGTTTTTGTTTGTGCTGTATTTCCAAGGACACTTTCTTTAACTTTGTCTCCACATTAACCTACATGTTTCATGCCCACACAGGTGGACAATGTAGATGAACTGTCTGTATAGAAGGATATACTGTATACAGATCATTTCTGGGCATTAACATACAGAATATACAGTATGACATGTGGCATGTTTCCAGTATAATAGAAAATATACAGCAGTGAGAAATGATAACTGTATAATACACTACTCTAGAAGGTCACACTTTGAAACAATCAAGGTGACAGAACCCTTTCAAGGTCTTTGATATGGAATCAGTTTAAGGGAAGTGTGCTGTCATCAAAAGCATCACACTTACGCAGTTCTACCTCTTTTAAAGACAAAACTATAAATAAAATGTATTTCACTGCAACACTCAAATCTGGCCTTTATTTTTATCTTTTTTTTCCCCATGTATAAAACATGTTGGCCCACATTAAATTACCAATTATATTTAGCAGGCACCAATAGAATGAGTTCTGTTTTATGTGTACTGGTATATTAAATCAGAAATGTGGAAATACGTCTTATTTGACTATGATTATGCTACAAAAAAATTACTGTAGAAATGCATGACTATTTTGTGATCATCAAAACCACTGATTCCTTTATTCTTTAACCGCATAAAATGATCCATTTTCAGTCACTCACCCTAAGCTTCTCTGTGAGCTTTCTGGTTGGCTCCAGGATGTGTTGGCTGAGTGACGCACAGACATTAGGATGTTATAAAAACACTTTAGCATCATGCAACCTGTCATTTATTACACAGTGGTGCACCACTAATGTTCTGCCAGCACTCTAACCTAGAAGATTCCTTGACTGAGGTAAGCACACCCGGTTTAATTATTTATGTTGCCTTAAATCGCAATAAATAGGTTAGGCCTTGTACTGTATAGAAGGTACAAATACACAAAATATCTGACTAAAAAACCTCAAGGTTACATGCAACTTTAGCAAGCTCTAATTATTTATATATTATATTACACTTGGAAAAATGTAATTGGAGTGCAACACTCTGCTCAGTGTTCTGTAATATGGAAAGCATCATCCAAAGCTTCTGTTCTTTGATTGGACCAAACTCAGTTAACCCAGTTAACTGATACTGTAAAACTGAACTCAGTTAACTTAACTTATACAATCCTCAGGAACCTAAAAGTAATGGTCCATGTTCCTGAGGATTGTATGAGAATGAATGTAATCAAAATCTATATGTTCTAAATCTCCCAGTGTCATCAGTGTCATATAAAATACTATTTTGAAACGGATGCCTTCTTAAACTGAAAATTCATTCAATAGCACAAACAACATAGTGCAGTGAGTAAGTTGCTTAGATTTTTTATTTTTGTTATTGGTTTCCATCATTTTTAATAAAACACAGTTCAAGACATAGATTTTGTTAGGTCATCCCACAACAGAATGGTAGCAGTGTAACACAATTACAGTGTAATATTACAATCTAAAAATAACAAAGTACCATTTTATTATTGTTGTTATTTTTCAGACTTTTTGAATAATTCTTTTATCTTCTTAATGTGATGCTTAGGTTCTGAGATGTATGATGTTTTTCCCATTTGTTAAAAATGATCTTGCTTTAAAAATAATAAAACACTTTATCAATTTTTCATGGTTTTAAAAATGGTCATGGTCAGATTATTGGACAAAATAAAAATCCAGAAATTTATATTGCATATCTACATACAGTAACACAACAAAAAAACAAATACAGTATAAGCAAACAATTTTCAGCAATGCATTTTTAAATTTACTATACAGCAATATGTGTCGCTTTTTTATACTCTATATACTATACATACTGTACATGTGACTATACATACTGAATATATACTTATCTCAGTTCTCTTGTTTTGCAGAGTCTCTTGATAATTAATTCTCAGAAAAGAAGACACTCTGGTGAAATGTGGTTAATTGATAAACTTCGAGAAAGAGTTGAGAACATTCCCCTTGAAGACAACCGAGCCTTCTCGGGTGTAAAAATGGATAGCCCTTCAGAGGCAAATCTCTCGAGCAAGCTGCACAGCAATGTCTTGACTCCTGACACGATTCCTGATTTCTTTATTCCACCAAAGTTTTTTAAACATACTGGAAATGTGGAACATCTTTCAGCTAAATGTAAGGTCAGCCTCTCAACTTCTAAAAACAATCTGAAGAATTTAACGAATACCCACATCTTTCACGTGAAGCCAGAAAGTTACTGCAAAAATAATGAAGGCAAGGACCTTGTGAAGCTGGCTAATCAGCTTTTTATACAGATAGAGAAAGCAGACGACTGCACTCTGGACAATATGGAGAACACCAACAAAAGCAAACAAAGAGACCTAATTTCTTCTTTTCCATCAGTGCTGTTACCTCACACAGCAGCATGTTTCAGTCTGACAGGCTTATATGAAAGTCCTAACACACGCAGAAAAGAGTCCTTGTTTCACACAGACTTTGCAAGCTACGCCTTACAGAGGAAACAACACATAGCCAACAAAAAGTTTGCAGCTCCAAGATCAAGCAGCCACACAAGCTCTACAAATATTACACACTCACTCAAGAAGCAGGGGACAACAGAAAATAACACCCCTTCCTCCAATGAATCCTCGCCCCACAGCACCCCCGTGCTACCTCGATCATTTTCAGGCACCTGTCTCTTCAAACTGTTTGGGCAAGAGAGTTTTCTCAAGGATATTTCCAGATCCAGTTCGAAGCAGTCTCTGGGAGGGAACAGCTCCTTTTCTACTGATGAATGTAGCTCTGGTGATACAAGTCCATGTACCTCAGAAAAGTCTGAATCAGAAGGAAAATCAGAAGCTCCAGGTTGTTCCCTTTCCCCTCCAGTGCTGTTTCCCCTTGACCTGTTACACTGCCAAGAAAAGCTACGGAGAGAGCATATCATTCCTCTTCAGGGAAGGGGCTGCATCCGGCTGTCATTAGAGTATGATTCTAGTAGCGCCACAGTCCGAGTCCGCGTGGTTTCAGTGGAGAACCTGTATGATTGCAGCTTTGAGGCAAAACACATTAACTGCTGTGTCATTGTCTGTCTCGTCCCAGGCAAACAGCAAAAGCAGCACAGCACCATAATCAAAAACAGCAAAAACCCCATTTTCAACGAGGACTTCTTTTTTGATGGGGTTACAGAAGAAGATCTCCAAAGTATGTCCTTGAAATTTAAGGTCATTAACAAAGCCTTCAGCCTCAAGCGGGACACACTTCTGGGTGTTATCTCAAAGCCTCTTTCCCAGTTATTGCCTTTATGAAAACAAAATGTGCAGATATTCAATACAACGTGTCCAGCATTCATGAAAAAGAAGGACACGTGACTCCTTTTAATTCATATGTAACAGTTCTGAGGATGTTTTATTTTCTTAGTATTTTAAAGTATGTGTGAAGGCTTTTGATTCATCTACACGCTATTTCAGAGTATTTATGCTTTTGGAATCTTCCTTATTGAGTATTTATTATGTTCTAAAGCTCCTTAACATAACATTTCCTTCCCCAGGGATGTATTGAATGTGAATCTGTTCTTTATGTACAGTATGTTATATTCATTTAGGAACTGACATACAGATTAGGTGGGTACACCTGATACTAAAAAATTGAGTATACCCTTTGATAAAATACAAGGGACTGATTTACACACCAGAGGTGAATATAAATATATTTTACTGAATTATATTTATTATCCCCACAAATGTTTGAATTTTACTCATCATCATTAAATAAAATGGAATAAACCAGAATTCATTTTCTGAAACTAGCAACTACAACTTTTCTGTGTCATTGATCCCTTAGATGCTGGCTTAACACATGCAAGTTCTTGTTTTCAAAACACCATTTGTTGAAAAGATGACAATAACTTCTCACAGAATTATTCTTTAGTGTTTTGTGATTCTGGACAAGATTTTTTTCTCGAGTTGTCATTTGGTAGAAACAGCTTTTAAAGCACAAACAAGCATGTTAATACTGTATTAATCTTCACTCTTGGATTCTTATACAGCTGCTTTTTTGAGTCGTACTTAAAAACAGCCTCAGCTTCACTACTGCCACTTGAGATAGTTTTTGTTAAAACAAGTAATAGACTGGACTTTACCAAGGAACTGAACGTATGATGAGCACTGCTTCGAGCTAAGTAAGCCACTAGCTCAATTATGTTATTTTTCTTCAATTGTCTTTCAGGCAGAGTTCCTTACTATTTTCAGACTTAATTATATTGCTTCTTTGCAGACTACTTGCTCATTGCTGTCTAAAGTAAACTGCTCATCAAGAGCCAGTTGTGCTTAACAATGTGTTTCTGACTACATAAAAAATGAAGAAAAAATCGTATAAATACAGTATATACTGAGAGGTATTAGAAATGCAATAAATGCTACTGGCTCAAATACTTATTTGAGCATTTTTAAGATAGTTTTTTACCACCTTTTCACATGTAAAAGTGTTAAGAATTCTGTCTGCCTCAATATACTTTTTCTTTTTTTTTCTGGTAACATGGTTGTACGGCCCAGTTATGTTTCCCTTATGTATAAATGTGTCGTGCTGTGTGTGATTTTGTACATTTAGCAAGCAGACACTTGTGTGCAAAACCTTCTGTGAATCTGACTTCAATTATATTGTAGAGGAGAATAAAATCATATTTACAGATATTTTCTGTTGTGTGCTACTTTTGCAGACAATGGATAACTGGCATTGGTTATCAATGAGTTCTATAAGCAAATTAAATTAATATAGTATCCTTGAAAAATAAACAAATGACTTGAAAATCTTATTTGGGAAAATCTGAAAACATTTCAGGAGAGCGGACTGTGAAAGAATAAAACAGAAATTAAGAGAATGAGAATGGAGTAGGATAAGCATGAAATTTGTAGAGAACAGATTATTAAAAATTAAAGATACTTTGCTAGATCCACAGAACAAATTGATCCTGAGAGTAACCTTATCAAAGGCTAGAAAGCTTTAAAAATCACTTTAATAAATTAATTCAGACAATTCAGCAGAAAGATTGCAGTTAAGAAAATTATATAAAAAGAATTAGGGCCAATTAGGGAAAAGGAGTATAATAGATTACAAGCATGGGTAAAAATGGATCATCTAAAGCCAAAGAAAAAATGTTGCAATGGTGTAATATATTTGTGTTGGAGTAAAATACAAATTATATTGAGGCTTGACAAAACTAAACCCGGTAGACCATCTTACTTCTAATGCTGTATCAGTGTTACTTCATGTAGCAGTACGGAAACAATAAAGAGAAGCAAACATTGCGTGGCCTCAAGAATCTAGACGAAAGTCAATAAAGAAAGGTGGGTCTTTGACAAATAACTTATAGCTCCAGTCCATTTGAAAACCAACATTATATTCTTTATCTCTGCGAGTCTAAAATATCTGAGTCCTTTCTGAGAACTATCACATTTTCTTAATTAAAAACCATTTTGATAACTTGCTGCCCACACAATGAGAGCACTTTGAACACTATACATTTCTTTGTTCCTCTGGTACAGAGCTTTGCAAGGGTCCATGTAATTATTTGTCATTTACACTCTGATGCAACCACCTTTCAAAGCTCTTATATATTGTACTACCACATTATCATTGCCTGTTCTGTTTATTTAGCATGTGCACTGGATGCACTGGATGTTACCTGACCTAAAGCTTTTAATTTTGCCTCTGTTTTGCAAATGTATTTGAACAAAGAAAGATGCTGATAAAATTCTTATGATCATTTACAACCTTGAAACATAGTATATGAAAACAAGATAGTAGAAAATAGTGCTGTTGTGGAAGGAGAATGTACCGGTATTTTTGCTTATTGAGGTTAATACAAAAAGAGCATGTAGTCATATTAGACATTTGTCATGAGGTTAAGTGTTTTGCACAAAGATACCCACTTACCTTAAGGTCAGGGTTTTAAAACAGACGGCTGGCATTTGGGTGCAAGTAGTGAATTCCCAGGATGGCACAGATACCTGCAGAGGGGTTTCATGGAAACTGTTGACTGGAGGAGTTGTGACTGCCGAGATATAAGGACTATCCCGCCGCACTTCAGTTCTCTGGTTTTAAATGTAACACAGTTCTCCAACTTGCCTTTTAATTGAATTGAATATCTCTCAGCTGGTGCTTTGTTGTGATGGCAATGTAGTGACAGTAGGATCCAGACCCGGGGTGCTATCTGCAGGGTTTCCTCCTACAGGCCCTGGTGTGAATGTGTCCGTCTCAGAATTATTGAACAAAAAATGAACAAAAAAAAAACATTAAAAGCAGTTAAAATAAATTAAATAAAAACCGTGTTTGACTCATTGGATAGCATCGTTATGTTTATATTTATATGCCCTAATTTCTGCTAGTAAAGCAATCGTTTTGCTGCAATATCTTCGTTATCCTAAACACACTATCCTGATGGTTACAGAGCGTTATAACCAGAAATGTGTGTTTCGTTACTAAACATCGTATTAAATATTTAATGATTTATTGTAGTCTTTTAAAGACTGTGAACATTTTAATTTTCTTCATGCGACGTTTAGTCTAATTTCCCAAATTCAAGGCGTTTGGATCTTCCAAGTCCACCAGCAGTGTCAACTTCGTTAATCCGTGAACGCGCGTGCCATGTGGGACGCGCGTGCCCAATTCAATGCTCAGTGCCGACTTCGCGCATAAGACCTCCTCTCTAGTTCCGGTGTGGTTATTTCAGGAAATCTAGATAGTTTCGAGGTTGGCTGACAACATGGTTTCTGTGGAGTGAAGACAGCAACATGGTGTTCGAGTCTGTGGTGGTTGACGTGCTGAACAGGTTTCTCGGCGACTACGTGGTGAATCTGGACAGCTCGCAGCTCAAACTAGGGATATGGGGAGGTAAAACTACATGATATGTAATCGTCTGTGTCCTCAGCGTTTCCAGAGACATAGCTGCTTGCCAGCTGTCATTATCACTGCCGCCGATCGCAGTACAGTGTATAGCCTAACGAGTTGGCCACTTGTATTACTAAGTTTGTTTCACTCTGCATGTGCCCATTGTTCCCGTATTTTAACTGTTAATTTCAGACGATCACAGTGTGAAATATCTTCCATAGATCCTTTTAAATCGGTATGCATTCTTGCTGTCATCATCACTAGTTAACATTGGGCACGCCTGTTTACGGCAGACCGTATTATAATGATAGCAGTGTCTACAAAATACATCTACTGTAGCCTTTCCAGCTCTTTACTATTTAAATGAAGGTTCACAGGATACATTTTGTTAGTGGAGGTGAAAATAAAATCAGAGTCCGAGCGTCTTGTCTTGTAATGCGAAGATGTGTTTGAGATCACGACTTTGAAGCGGCGTTTTCCTCACCCGGCCCGGGGAGTTAAGGTCACTGGAAATTAATTGCTCTGGTGGCCCGGGTGTTGAGCGAGGTATAGTACTGTAACGTGCACGGGAGGAAAAGACGCCAAGTCACCGTCCGAGCCTTTGGCTTCTGTTTTTTATTAAGGTTAACATGTTACTTTACACTTCCCTCGCCTATTTCGTCAGTGAATGGTTAGGCTAGTTAGGTTTGCATTCCTGGCTGGTGTTCTTCGACTGTCCATCCTAAATATATCGGGGATATACTGGGAGTGGGTCATTCTGCATGCTATAACCGCACCCTTACAGTGCGGTATCCTCCTGTGTTACTTAAGCTACTTCACATTGTGAAACTGACTGTACATAATCCCTGTTTTTACGGATAACAGCCACAGAGTAACTGACGTTATTGTATGCCCATCGCTACATTCTGTATGTAGTTCCAGCCTTATAGTAGTGGTAGTAGTCGGAGTGATGTTAAACTTGATCTTTTTAAGATTACTATGTGTGTTATTATAACAATGGTCTTAGCAGTTGTGCTATTAATTACTTTGTCTGTGGTTAAACATTGCACACTCTCTTTAAAATAGACGTGTGAAACAATATGTGCATTTGGAAAAATGTCCTTGATCTGTGAACGCAAAGATGCGTGCCTTCACATGTTTTGTTGGCATTGAGGGACGTTCTTTGTTTAGAGAAAAGGTGAAATATCAGGTAGAGTTTTTGAAGATTTGTCTTGGTGTAATGAAAGAAAAAACTTGTCCTGTTTAATATCCTATATTAAACAATTATCCTGTTGTTATGTAGTAAACAGGCTTGAGAAATGGACACACCACAGAGGCCGTTTGTGTGGCATTATCCGCAGCTGTAGGAAACGTAAATTGAGAGAGATGGATAGATTTTTACCAAGATAAGTAAAACAGAAAGTGTGCGAACATTATCAACATGAGTACTGCACATCCACTTCCCTGTGTCCTGTATGAACCAGAATGGAGAAACAACAGCACTGTTCCTGTTTAATTGGTATTCTTGTTATAGGTTGATTTTTTTATGACAGTTAAGATGTTTGGTGTATTATGCTGTGCTGGAAAGCTGTTATAAAAGAGAGTGATTAGTCAACTTTTTGTATTAACTGTTAACTATTAACTGTTAATTTGTTATTTAATGTCTTAATATTTGCCTCCCAGCTGGTCCATATAGGATAGACTCTTGTTTTAAGTTGTGCTGCTTGTTTTAATACATGGTGCTTTGTGAACATGTCACAGTGCTTGCATTGTTGAATAATTAACAAGCTGTTTTTATGTAGAAACCTTTACAATTTAATGTTGCTGCTCTAAACAGCTAACTGCGTTCTGTAGGCAGACCGTGCTCAAGTATACCTACAAGGAGACTCTGAAATCCTATCAGGCTGCATTAAAGAGGCCTAAAGCCAAGAGATTTCAATGGAATCAGCTTGGCGGTGTGCATTTATAGCACACCAGTTTCAAGTACATTAATTGATTCATCTAGCACAGGGCTAAGAAACCATGCTGGTGCATTAAATCTACCCTACTGTGAAATGCTGATGTTATTTAGATGAAGTATTTTATAACAGGACAGCTTCAGTCAGTTTTCTTAAGTGGTTCCTTCTGCTTTGGAGAAGAATTAACCAATACAAATTCAAATTAGCAAAATATTTGCTGAATACACTGTGGTGTGAATTACTATTTGTGGGTACTGTGTCTGATAACCCCAGTTGTTTACTCTGGTATATAATTCAAAAAGTGCGAAATGGAGTCTGTACATCTCGCTTTTGAACAGAATTGATCTTTCATTGTGAGTAGGCTCTATGAAACAGTTAGACGGTATTTCATTGCAAATGCATAAGTACTGTACCTTTCATAAATGGTAATACTCCAAGAGATCTACAGTAGAAAATTGTTTTTCTTAGTTTTTTAAACCTGTAATTTTAACATATGTATAGCTAAAATTATTTTCCTTTTAGTGACCACATTTTGCCAGCTGGTTAAGTGTTTATACAGTACATACTGTATGGACATATTTTGTATAGCAGTTAAATAATGTTTGTATTTTCACTGATTTTTAACAGGGCAAAGTGTTGTGCTGCACTGAATTAACACTGTTGTTTGTTAAGCTTTTACGTATTATTTTAAACTACATGAACAATTATCATTTTAAGAAATCTGCCATCATGCCTTGCAGAATTAAAGCATTTGCAACAGAGCCTAACGTGTACAGCTACCCTCTTTATTTAGAATTACAGCTCTCCAGGTTCCTGTGCCTGTTCTCCCCGAGTCCATCTCGGGCTGTGAAGCAGGGGGATATTCAGTACTGTGCAGTGGGTTTGGTGCTTTGCTTGTTGCTCCTGTGCAGACTGGGAACTCTGAGCTCATGGCTCAAGTCCAGGGGTCCAGGCACTCTACAATGGCAATGTAGAGTGCTACAATAGCACTCTACAATGGCAATGCTAGACCTAGAAATACTGTTGATTTTCAGGGGTGCAACAGTAGTAAATCTCTGAGCACTGTGTCCCAAAAACTACCATGCAGTAAATTAAGAAAGAGAAAACAAAGGGTGCTATTGTGAAGCTTAGAAGAAGTGAAGTGGTTAACCGAGCAGGGAAAAAGATATGAAACATTTGTCACTGTGGTAACGAAGCTTTCCCCTGTTGCCATCATATTTGTGTTTCTAAAGGGTGCTCACTTTGCTAAGGTAGGGATTCTGTCAGGAACATGAGTGTGGTGTGGAAAATAGCTGAGCCAAGAGCTACACAAGTATTGCCTCTGTTTTGACTCATGAGTATAATATAATACGTGAGACAGTTTCCCTGATAGGGTCCAGACATTAACTGGCTCCACTTAGCTGAAACACAGTACATCATAACTTAATGAAGTTGGGATTCAGAATGTACAGCGAGCGGGCGCCAGTGATATTTTACAAGATCATAGGAAGCTGGCCTTTATATTAACACCCTTGAAATTCATTTTTGAGTGACTTTCAACTAATCCTGTCAAAATAAAACAACCATGTATTTGATTGCTTATATACCAGTGCATTCTATTAATTTAAAAAAATATTTTTTAAATATGACCTCGCTTAGATACTCCATACATGTTTTACATTCATGCTTTCTTAGTGCTGAGTGTACTCATCACGCAAAACACCAGTTTTAATTAAGTTCAAGCAGGTGCCTGAGTCAGCATGTGTAGGCTGGAAAGGAACAGGTACAGTTTTATTCCATGCAGAAAAGAAAAGAGACACTGTTCTGGCTGTGGAGGCTTCGTCAGGCGTGTCTTCTTCAGTGTCACACACCCTAAACTTTGTCTCTCTTTTCTTTTCAGCATGGAATAAACCTTTACTTGTATTTATGTTTTATGTAGTTCATTATTTTCAGCTGCATTTGTCAAAACCATTTGTCATAAAAATAGAATGTTTATGTTACCTAAATTAAACATACAAACATGAGAAGGGATATAAGTGAAAAAGGTGGTAAGTACAGTGAGTCCAAACTACTTGGCATAGGATGTGGAAAGTTTTCATCTTCCCAAATTCTTTGGAGTACAAAAAGTACTCCAGTACTATAATTGGTTATGGTTCACTGCAATATTTTATTGTCACATTAGAATAAAATGTGTGTGCCTGTTATTCAGTTTAAGAATTTAAAGAGATAAACTAGCTTACAGTACTGTAGCTATGTTGTAGTGTTTTGAGGTCAGATTTCAAAGTTCCTTTTATGTTAATTTTTTAGCATGTGCATGAAGGATGAACATTTGTTTGATCACTTTATAAAAGAAATAGCATTTAAGCTCTTGAACATGGGCTTAAATGTGTTGTAGTTATGTGAACTTATATTAATGTTCTGAGTAGTATTGTTGAAATTCATTTTGACATACAAGTGAAAGAACCAAGGAACATACTCATGTACATTTGAATATTGTTTGATAGAGATGTAACTTCCTACTCAAGCTCTACTCAATTTCTTAATTGTTTGGTTATTGTGTTCTGTGGTCTGTTACATTGTGTGCTTGGATTATTTACTACAGAACTATATCTATTATAGCAGCAGTGCAGTGTAGAAAAGCACTAAAAATAATAGAAACATATAACCTTGACTTCTAAGGGAATGAATGCACCCATACCAAGCCAGATCAATGCACTCCATAATATTATGGAACCTCCAGAACTATTCACTGTTGGAACCAAGAACCCAGGGCTGTGGAGCTCTTTAGGTTGGAGCTGCTTGCGCTTTGTCATGAACATGGTAGAGGAAGATTAATCTGATTCTACCTCTGTTCTCCACTGCTGGATAGTTCATTGCTAATGGACTTCGCACCATTGGACAAAAACTTGCATTGCCAAATGAGCTGGTTGTGTACTGCAGCCTGACTATGGTGTCCTGCTCTGGGGATTTCTTGAAGGACCGTTGTTAATCCAGCTGCCTACTCGCCTTGTTTTGCAGTGCAGTCAGTTGATCTGCAGTTCTTCACCTGTTTTATCTTGAGCCTCAAATCAACCACACTATTTTTTTCCCCCAAAGTCCCTGAATTGTCTTCTGGGAAGCATACTAGCCATACTGTAATTGTGGACAATCAACCATCCAGTGTTTGTAAACATCATCCTAAGAATGCTGGGATGACATTTGCTTTATTAACGCATGATCTTTGCCGGTGTAGAAGCCCTTACTTCGGGTATGTTTGCTTTTGTTGTCCTGGATTGGCTTTTCGTTCTGTCCTGTTTCTGTTTTTTTGTCCACTTGCTCTGTGGCACATGTGTCAGTAGCACTTATTTGTAGATTATTATAGTTACGTCTTCTGTGTTTGATTATATTAGGTGTGCTGCTAAATTAAATCTAAGAACATTTTCTAGAATCATATGTTACCAGCATCAAGACCTTTAATTACAAATTGTGCACACCAGCATCTAAAAACATTCTATCCCACAGGTCCTATATGGTGCAGTTTTCAGTACTGTAGCAGCAGAGGCTGACAGGACTTAAAGGCAGTAATGTCAGATTCTGGTTTTTGCTTGGCTAAGCAAACACTGTTGCCAGGCAACTAGATCTTGCTTTTCTTGTACATGTTTGCACAGTTTAGAATTTGTAACTGTGAATTTTTTTATAATTGGTGAAAAATGTTATAATCTTCTGGTTTTGTTAAGGACATAAGATTAAATGGTAGAATATTTGGCCTTGAAATGGACCTGACTAATAAGGTATTTTTTAAGAGCTAGTCTCTGGAACTGATGTTTTGTTCCTATGCAATTAATAGTCCCCTCTTTATTCCCAGTTGAGATGGATAACTCAGTGTAGCTAAAATAAAAACAACTTTTGGAGAACAGATGATAATATAAGTAAAGCACCTTACTAAATCACTAGATTACATGCATAGTTTTACACGAGATGCATAAGATTTACATTAATTAGGGGTTAGTATTTTAGTGAAAGAAATGTTTGGAGTTTGTAATAGTCGGTTATAGTCTTCATTCGAGTTTTCCTTCCCTCTGAACTGTGCGGAATTGTTGTTCAAGGTTGTTTATGGGATTTACAGCAACAGTCACAGACCTTGAGAAAGCTATCAGTACTGCACATTCACTTAATTTACAACATTATGGTGTAGTTTCAGTTTCACAAGGCTCAGATCCAAAGCATTTTGATTGGTAGTGATGTTTAGACATTCAAATGCTGCAGTATTTGAAAGTATTTTTAAAAAGTATTGTAAAATGCTACAGTATTTTAAAGGTGAATTAATGTGTTATAACTGTTACTTTTATAATTGTTACTTTAAGTACAGCTGGTAGAATACCATAATATCTGAAGTTTAAGCATGTAATGTATGTTTTTAGAAAAATAATACATTTTTATTATTATTGTATACAGATTCAGGATATTGATTAAATGGCTTTGGCTTAATTTTGGTTTACTTGATCTTTCATGACTGACTGCAATGCGTTTATTGTATAAGCATGAAATCACCTCATTAATGGTTAGACATTTGATTGGGCACTGGAGATGAGGTAACGTCACCTGCTGAAATGTCAAGACACATGAACTTTACAAAAGAAAATAACCAATATACCTCAGTTAGCAAGAGAACGAGTCCTTTGTATGTTCAGTACCTTGGAGAAATTCTTCAAATTGATTCATCTTTAGTTGTGCCATGACTTTTGTTTTAATGATGATGATCTGGCCAGGAGTGTCAAATCACTACAGAACTCCACTTGTAGCGATGAATTCTAGGCTGACTTTACAGCACTATATTGCTCAGTTCCTGGTATCTCAATGGCCTCCATTCTTGCCGGTGTATCCTATTGGGAAACCATGCAGTGCACATCCTCGTGCTGCTTGTGTAAAACCAGCTTCTTGCAAGATGAGAATATGATGGTTATGCTCTGGATACCCCATTCATCAGACTTGAGTCTCATGGTAAATCTGTGAGGTTACGTACAGCATCTACTATAGGGCTCAGGGAGCTGTATACAGCTAGTGCTTGTCCAGGCTATAGAAGAGAAAGGTGATGGGACCTTACAAAACAACTTAACCCAGTGCAGAACAAGCTGTGCAGATGAGCAGCTTGTTTGGCTTCTGCTAGCGGCCACACCCACACGCACTACTAGCCTGTAGTTTACACTCCTAATCAGTCCTCTTCATGAGAAAACTTTTTTAGCAAATGGTAATCAGTTTACCAATGTCTGTTCAATAAAATGGCAGTGCACCTGTCACTTAAAAGATTTTTAATTTTCCTGATAACTTTATGAATTTGCTGTAGGTACAGTATAAACAATGTTTTTTAATAATACATTTTATTAGAAAGATGTCTAGCTCACAAATGTCTATATTGAACTCAAACGAGGGCAGTGCTCTCTTGTGGCAATATAGGTCTCTCCTCTCTCACAAAAAGTACAATTTCTGACTTGTCCTAGAGCTGTTGCAGTGGAACAACCGTTTTGATTAATCCAGTCATGTGGATATATTGTGTGGCACTTCTTCTTACACATTTTCCATTTTTTTCCATTTTCTTTTTCTAGGTGATGCTGTACTCAAAAATCTTGATATCAAAGAAAATGCATTGGTAAGTGTTTAACAGTTTTGGAAATAAACAAAAATTGAATATTACACTAGGTCTTGTATTTGAATACACTTGTTGCTTTCTTTTGTCCCAAACAAGTAGATGTGTATGATTCCATAAGAAGTGTTCAGAAATCAAGTGAAATGCATGCAATATCTTTGTTTATTAGGTTTTACTCTGTGTGTCACAACCACTTTGACGATTGATGTATTTAATATTTAATTGTTTTAATTCTTGTTAATGCTTTTCTGTCATAGTGACAAATGCTCTTTTTGACAAAAAGAGAATCCCCTATTTTTTTTTCTTTCAGAGCCAATTGGATATTCCATTTAAAGTTCGAGCAGGACATATAGGTAAGATAGTTTGGTTGTCGGTAATGTTTTCTTCATCTTAATTGCTTTATATTAATTTTGTTTTGTAACTTTTTTGCAGCTTACATTTAATAAATTAAGGGAATACAATTACTTAAAAAGTCTTAAATTGGTTTCAACTGTATTATCTGACTACTTGTTTTCTATATGATACATTTAAAAAAATGAAAAAAAATGTTTCTTTTCTTCTTTCAAGAAACATCTGAATATTATCCTCAGGTCACATCTCTGAAGAAATGCTAGCTAGGTTAAATGTCTTCCTACTGTTTGCAAACTCTTACATTCTTAGCTGGTGCTGTTCTGCATCTTACTCATGGACTGCGTGTGATCAGTCAATTTAACACGTTTCTTGGTGTTAGACATTTTTTTTTTGCTGGATTGAAATTTGACCTTTCAGGAGCATTGTGAATCTTCAGGGATCTGAGCTTAACTTTTTTAAATCTTTGATGTCTTGGCTTCTTTAAGGGAAAACACACTGGCCTATTCTAGATTTTAGTTCTTTATATATTACCTTTTATATATACCCAGCCAGTCGTTGGTTGGATTATAATCCACCATTTCCATTTAAAAAATGTATTAAAATTGAAAAGTATCAAAGCAAACAAACTTCACTGATTCCACAGAATGGTGTGTACCTCCAAAAAGATAAGTTGGGTTATAAATGGAAGGCCATTCAAAACATCTAGCCAGTTTGGTTCTGAGTAACCTATTTATCGTTTGTTTGTTAGGAAATGATTAATGAATGAATTCCACAACAGTGGAAAGTATGAAACTAGACCCCCGGCATTTGCAACACAGAACCCCCAGCACATGAATAAGTGAAATGTTAAGGCTTTTTTCTCCAGGAATATGCTAAAAGAAAAAATCTCTGATAGTCAGTAAGACAAAAAAAGTACATTATAAGTTTAAAAATGATAAATAGTAAAACAATAGCCGTTTATAACTTAATTTAGTCATCAGAGCACTATATTTTTCTCCTAAATGCTTATTATTAAAGAGGATCAGTGAAAATATGTTTGTGCCATTAATGCCAGTATTTCAAAGAATATATTAAGAACATAAGACAGATTATAAACAAGGTTTCTGTTTATTTCATCTAGACAATTTTGTTGCTAGTGATGGATTGATCTCATCCAGATGTTTCTTGAAAGACACCAGCTTTTGATGATTCTGATCGATTGATTCGTGTTAAGGTTAGGTTTAGTTCTTCTGCCTCTCAGTGTAGGACATTTATTTAAGCCAAGTAAGCTGCAATATCTTTCCTTGTGAGCAGTAGACCAAAATAATGACTACAGATTTACAGAATATGCTTAATGGGGTCATACTAGTAAATTGTACAATTATCATAGAGTTTCTTGTTTTTAATTCTGAACGTTTAATTAAATATGCTAACATTGCTTGTCTTATTACTTCCTCTCATGAAGTTATCTTCATAAGTAAAAAGTAAACACAGAAAAAGTACTGTAACTCTTCAAGACGAGTGTTCTCCATTTTGTATGTATTGTTTGTGGATTTACTATACTACATAACCTGTCCATAATACTCTACTTGTCTTCATTAAATGTATGTCTTATTATTTTTATAAACTACGTGAAAAGTTTAATTTACGACAGAGGTAATGTAATACTTTGAAATACATTTGGTACCCTGTTACTAACTATAGGGTTGGAGAACAATCTTTGTCCTTTATACTCCTCATGAGCCCTCTTGATATGAAGTTTAAGTAATCTTGCAGCCTTGCAAAGTTTTATTCAAAGTTCAGAGTGTATGGGTGTTAAAAGGCGATAAGGTGTGATGCACTGTTGATCACCAATAAAAATCACATTACACACTTACTATTATTAGGAAAATAACAGCCAATAAAGAAAACTTGAGCTAAAAATTAAACTTCTACACTCAGCAGGCTTGCTTGCACAAATTACATTTCAGTTTATGATTTATTCATATTGCTTAATTGATTACAGCACTAGAAAATATTTTTAAATAGTTTTTATGTATTATGTGATACAGAACGTAGTGTGAAGTGTTTTCTCTCAGGCTTGCAGGTGTAGTAAATATCCCGATGAGGCTTCTCTGATTCCTGACTAATATGTCAGACTTGTTGCCTAACCCTCTGAATCCTCTGGGAACAACTCCTTAAATGAAGGAGACATTGATACTTGACACCTGTAAGAAATCTGCATTGCATCTAGTATTTCAAAAGACATTTCCATGGGTAGATGCTCTCTGTTTAATGATACACATTCATCATTTGAAGTGTACATTTGTGTGGTTGATTGAAGAAACTTTCACCTCAGGCTATTGACACTAGATTTTTCTTCTAGGATGCTGTGTCACTTTTTATTAATAACCGTGTATAGTGTGTTTCTAGTGATTAAGAGCGGTGTATGTTATTTTTTTAATAGTTGAAAAGATGAATAGAAGTGTTCGCCTAGCTTCTAGGTCTCTGCTATGTGTAATTTTTAATATGGGATTAAAATAGAAAAGGAATACATTAGATCATTTCAGAGTTTTAACACCTCGTGATCACTAGTCTAGGTACATGTAAATTAATGTTGGAAGATGCAGCACAGAAAGGTGGAGAGACTATTTAAAGCTGTGTAGGTTGCCTCGGATATTTATCCTGATCTTTTTAATGCATTTCTTAAAATAGTATGGTATCCTTACAAAATTGGAGAAGTGGACAAATGACCTGCAGTGTGCATTAAAACAATGAAGAAATGCACATCAGAATTCTCCATTCTAAACATGGTTCAGCATGTTCCTTGTTTCTCATGAAAAGTTCCCTTTCTGATGCCTATTGCAATTCTTATGCTTTTTGCTATTGTTATGAGGCTAGATATTTTGTTGCATAACTAAATCCTTCACAGAACTTTTAAACGCTTGTTGTTTCTCAGGAAAGCTTGAATTGAAGATACCATGGAAAAATCTATATTCTCAGTCAGTGGAAGCCACTCTTGATGGAGTATACCTTCTGATTGTTCCTACTGCCAGTAAGACTTTGAATATAATATTTGTAAACTAATTTCATTTGGTGTCTGTTTCGGGAAGGGATTAGATCTGTTACCTTTTGTTTCCTGCACACCCTTGTATATTGTCAGGTTCTGGCACAAACCGGTTTCTCTGCACTTGATTTGATGAGTCTTGTATTAGGAATGTGACAAAAACAAGACTTGCAAAAGAATGTACTTATGAGAAACCTTTTATTCTCTTGAAATAAATTTATGCAAAAAGGTTGGGCTAATATGTGCCCTATGATTTACTATATTGCTGTATACACAAATACTGAAAATATTACTTTGTAAACACTATTTCTTTCTTCTGGAGGGGATGCTCTGAAAAAAATAGCATTTACTCATTAACTATTAAGCTTGATACCTCCATGTACTGTCTTTGAAAAGTATATGGAAAAAATAAATTTCTTATAAAAATTGATAGCTTCCAAAGAATGGGATCATCAGATGACAAGTTTCAATTTATTTTTCTGAATAGGAGTTTCAGATGTATAATGTATAATGTATAAAGAGCAATCAGATAGTAAACTACATACTGATGTTTCAGTTGCTTTGGTACTAATCCCTATTTTTAATACCTGCCTCTTAGGTATAAAATATGATGCAGAAAAAGAAGAGAAACAGTTACAAGAGGCGCGACAAAGGGAGCTGCAAAGAATTGAAGACACTAAACTGAAAGCAGCTGAACAAGGTAGATTTTCGGGCACTGAAGACTTGCTGATGTTTTGTGCTCTTTTCATTTGTTCAGCTGAACCTCAAACATGTTTAACGCTGACAATTTCTGGGGAGCTGTTTCCATGCTCGGTGAACCCAAGATATCAAGTAAAGCTTGTTTGAAGGCTGAGGAAATGCCTTTTAATATTGTGCAATTAATGAATGCATTTTATTTTGCATGCAGAAAATCCCAAATTAGAAAAACAGGACACTTTTGTTGAAAAGCTCGTCACTCAGGTAATTAAAAACCTGCAGGTGAAGATCTCCAACATCCATGTGCGATATGAAGATGATGTAAGTACCTGGACTGTATCTTTTCTAAAACAAATATTTTGTTGTTTTTAGTTTTAATAAGGGATAATTATAACGCACATTCCTTTTTTTCAGATTACTAATCCTGGTTCCCCTTTGTCATTTGGAGTATCTCTTCAGAATCTCAGCCTTCAGGTGCTGTATGTTTACATTAATTATTGTAAGAATTGCTCTATATAGAAGCTTTAGGGAATCCTCTCTGGTTGGAATAGAATACACAGATCACTTGTGTATTCTTTATTTGGGATTTGGAGGGGGAGTTCAGTTTATTTGTAGGCATGTGGTATTTTGGGGTATTACAGTAAATAAACTTCAGTGAAATGCACTGAAACATTGGTTTCTTATTGGTAAATAAATTAGATGTGACAATGTTACATTCAAAGTCGTAACAAGCTTTAAATTGATTGTAACCCAATGTGTCACTTGCTACACTTTTATTTGTTTCTTATGTTAAGAAAATAATACAAATGAAAATGATTCAATTATTTGATATTCTGAGATCCAACAAAAGGGTGTTCATAGGAATGACCCTGCAGTTTTTACAGCCAGTATACAGGTTTTTCTTTCTTCATCAGAAAACTTTGTTGGTTTAATACCCCATTGCTGGCTAGGTTTGTACAACTCATTCCAATATTAGATAAAAATCCCTTTCGAGAAGTACCCACCGCTGCAGTGAAGGATAGTGGGATCAGGGCTCAGGACTAGTCAGTGAATGTTGGTGGGTGACTTAGATTGCGCCAGTAAAAGTGTCTCCTGTGTAAAAGGGCATAAATAAAAGTTGGATGAAAGTGACAATGAAAATAAAATAACACAGAAATTGTATATTAACAGTATTACAAAATGTTTTTGGAAGCCAAGGCTAAAGTCAGTGCCTCCCTGGCATTAGATGCAGTTTTCAAGTACGAAAATGCACCACAGTATCCCAAGAGTCCGACCTGCAAATTGACTGCTCTCTTCTTTTCCTGTCTTCTGCCTAAGAATATATTGCATGTTCTCACTTACTGTGCCTTGTCCCTTCTTGATTACATACAAATATATAGTGCTATAAATTTCTAATTCCAATAAATGTCCCTCTAGTTTTCTGGCAGTTAATTTTTTCTGATCAACATAAACATTAAAAAATACTTTCCTCTGTCCAAAGTTATTAAATTTACAGTAGAACATTTTAAAGAATGGTTTTAAGCAAGACACATTATCCAATTCCTATTTCATTGGGGGTATGAATACATCTGGGGAGTACTGTATGTGATTTAATATTAGGATCTTATTTGCATTTCCATTTTCTTCCTCTAAATTTACAACAAGCAGTGTCTTGTTCCCTTAAAAGCAGTATTTAAGTCCCATTAAAACAAAGCAGTGTTGTAATTCAGCTGTCATCTTCCTGCAGACAGCAGATGAGAATTGGAACCCATGTCTACTGGATGAAAAAGCCAAGTTATTTTTTAAGGTGCAGTTGTCTTTGATTGCTTGGTTAATTGAGCAATTTAATTTGCTTATTGTTATTTCCAGTATTAAATTGCTATAATTTAAGTAAATAAAAATAGCTTCTAGTCTTTTAATAAGAGATTCAGATTTTGAAAACCGCAAGTAAAAAAAAAGTTTACAAAAACTACTTTGTTGTTTTTTCTCGTTTTGAATGGTACTGTTTAACATAAAATATATAGTTTCCAAACCTGTAACTGTAGTCAATAAGTCCTTTTTTAAATTAGATTTTATTTTTGTTCTCCGTGTGACTGCAGCAAGGATTACTTGTAACTCTTGCTGTAAAATACTGTAGATGTTTAATATGTTTATAATGTTAGATGGTGGTTTGTTTGCAGCTTGTTCGTCTGGATAATCTCTTTGCATACTGGAATGTAAATTCAGAACTCTACTCAGTTCACAGCCCTGGAGAAGCCCTGGTGAGTAATCAGTCACGTTGGCATCAGGTTTTGTCTGCTTTTCATGCAACAGATACCATTTTTACTAATAAAACAAACTTTTTTTCCTTTTGATTGTTTAGGATTTTTTTGCAGGAAGACAGGTAGTAGCAGATTGTAATTGTAGCCGCTCACTTTGCACATTAAAAGAGCAAAGCAAGATTCCGAACTTTGCACCTTCTTTTATGTTAGAGAACTGATCATGTAATAAATGGATTAAGGCACACAACTGGCAAATAATGACTAGATTATATACTACATTCTATACAGAAGGTGAAGACACCATTCATTTGTTCTTCATGCTCTACATGTGCCACTATTAAGATAATTTAAAATGTTCACAAATGAACAATTTCATGTGACTGAAAACTATTTCAGAAATTTGTGCTCTTAATGTTAAAGGTTCTGTTTCTAATTTCTTATTTGTTCTTTTTCTATTTAGAGAAGTTTGAAGACCAGCATTGCAATGCACAATTTGATACCACAGGACTATGATTTTAGTAAGCAACAGTATCTCTTCGAATTATAGATATACTCTAGTTCCTTCATGTAAAATAAGTGGTTTGGGAGGCCAATATAAATTCAAAGGAAGGAGTTAGAGATATCCAGTACACAATGGTGTCTTCAGGATACAAAGTATTGCAAATTGCCATCTTATGTTGTCTTCATACATTTTTGCAGGATTATTTAATTATAGTTGGGTTGCAGGAAAAATAGGGGGGAAACTGTAATTTGTTTGGGTTGCTTTATTTCTTTATTGCGTTATATATCTCAGAAATATATACTGATGGAAAAAAGCAACACAACCTTTTCTATAATGAGAATACTATTGTTACAGCTTATGTAGTTTCACAAAAAGCCCTCTGACCAGCAATACAGCAATACAGCTTGTGCAGTGAGGCATTGCAACTTGCCAATCACACATAAGCTCGTTAGGTGAACTTTTACCCAACGAGGTCCAGGTGGAACAATGCATGATCAGGTCACCTTTAAAAAGGCCTTAATTCAAAGCTTAGATCACTGCGAAAAAAAGGCCACACTCAGTCAGTTTTCTGTGCATTCCATAATACCTCGAATGTCACCAGAAGCCAGGGAGAGGGACATTGGCATGCTGCAGGCAGACATGTCGTGTGACGGCGTTACCAGACACTATGGAGTAAGCCGGTCCACTGTATCCTGACTGCAGAGAAGGTTTCAATAGCCCGGCAAGATAGATGACCTTCCAAGATCTGGTCGCCTTAGAGTGACTACACCGACACATCAGACTGGTCAATTTGAGAGATCGTTTCAGATCAGCTCCCTGTACAGCTGCTGAAACCGCCGGCGGACACAATGCCCGCATCAGTGACAGGACAGTGAGGCTCCATGCTGCTGGCCTTAGAGCAAGGCGACCTGTCAGAGGCCCTCTGCTCACACCTCCTAGACGTCACACCCGACTGGCTTGGGCCAGACAGAGGCTGCGACGACTCGTCAGCAGTGGCATCAGGTCCTCTTCACGGATGAGACACTCTTTAGCCTGTTCCATTCAGACGGGAGGGCCAGAGTGTGGAGGAGGAGGTGTTGCGTTTCTTTTTTTCCATCATTATATATAAAATCATCAGTTAATTTTAGAAATATTTTTCACTTCTTTTTTAAGCAATCAATTAACGAAACGATCCATTGCAAATACTGTTAGAATAAATATTTTTTTCAAAATGATTTGAAATATTATTTGTTTGTTTATAGTATTTCGTCCAATATCGACCAGAGCTAAACTTCGTATGAATCCACGTGCAGACGTTGACTTTTCCTCACCAAAAATGGACTTGGTCGTTAACCTCCCAGAAGTTGCCATTGATCTCAACAGACCTCAGGTAAGTTACTGTATAAGTTGAATTAGATTTAACATTGTAATCAAATAGAAGAGGCTGAGTGCATAACAGATAGAACTATAGTCATTAACAGATAAAACTATAGTAAATATTAACTAGATTTGGAGGATTAAGTTCTGCTTCAATGGTTTAACTATGGTGAAGAATGTGCAGGGGGAATTCAACAAATAATTAATCTGTTTTTCATTGTTGAAATATTGTATTTCAGTACATAAGCATTTTGGAGCTTCTTGGATCCGTGGATATGATGTCAAGAAATTTGCCATACAGGAAGTACCGACCAGATGTTCCTGTTCACACAAATGCTTACCAATGGTATTCCAGTTTTCTAAATATATACAATACATATGCTTGCTTTCAGTGAAAGTTTTTTATTGCTGTATGCCAGTATGGTCATTTGTATTTCCCAACAGGAGATGTCTTTTTCAATTGAATGTAAATTCATGTTTTCTTTGCAACCAGGTGGCAGTACGTAATAACAGGAATATTGGAGGTGAATGTAAAGCCTGGTCTTCACATGTGGTCATGGCACCACATCCGGAAGCACAGACAGGAAGTGAAGAAGTACAAAGAATTGTATAAAATGAAAATAACCAGCAAGAAGCCAAGTGAGGATCTTTTAAAGAGACTTGAGGTTTGTAATAATTGTATTGGTAATGCTCCTAAAATCAAATTAATCAAAAACTGCAGTTGATCGGATGTTTTTGTATCTTAAGGCTCTATGTATTGATCTGTTATGTCTTCTCTGCATTTTCAGCAACCTGAAAGAACATTGGATTTATTTAACATTACGCTGGCGCGTCAGCAGGCTGAAATGGAGGTGCGTTCCATACCTTGCTATCATATATATTGATATCGTTGACCTGTTTGGGTTAATCGTTTTGAAAATACAGTGGAATAACAGTCCACTGATCATGAATTACTTCAAGACGGTTTAGAGCAGTGGTTCTCACTGTGGTACACGTACTCAGGTGGTACACCCCCAGGTGGTACACTAGATGACCCTGGAATTTTGGTGTGTGCACTGAAAAATTGGGAATTATTATTATGTAAATTTTTCATCTATAATTTACTTAATCGGATTCAGAAAGCTTGAGACAGGTTTTCATATTTTCTATTTTAATAAAATTAGTTTGTGTCAAATACGCAGCCTATGTACTTAGCTACGTCGATACAGCGCTTATACTCGAGTGTTCATACTCCTTAGCAGCTTAGCACCACATTTGCCAACAGAACAAGTGATCGAAAATGAATACTTCACAAAAATCAAGTATTATGTAATGGCTGAAAGGAATAGACGTCAAGAGTACTGACATCAGCTCCGATAGATCATGCACACCTGTTGAGAACAAGGAGGATTATACATCGGCCACTAGGATTACCATATTTGAACATCAAAAAAAGAGGACACCCTGAGGAACTTTCCTATTGCCTTATCTGGGAAGGGGGTAGGAATGGAGAGGGTTTTCAAAATATCCCACTTTTTATTTTCATTGGTAAAGTAAGTGTGATTATGTTTAATTGTTTGAAATGCATAAGTCCCCTCTGCTGTGATAACAGTATCCTCTGTTTTGCTGCCAGATTTGACTAAATAATCTGTTAATTTGCTTGACAGACTCTCCTTGAATTGCCTTCTTGTGTTTGTCTGAGTCAACAGGAGCTTGCAAGTCAAGTACACCTTTATTTGCTACGGAGACAAAAGTACCCGGCTTACACACCAAACATTCAGTTTCCCAGTTTTCTCTGCCACTTCGAAAACATGGAAATTAATTTTCTAGTTGTGCTGTGAATTTGCGCTTTTGCTTTGGTATTGTGTTTGAGGGTAGGAAAACAAGAAACAAAATAGGGAGCCTTTCGAAGGAATGCTTCTGCACTTCACAGACTGAGTAAAGATGCTGATATTGACGCCCTATTTCCCTCTCGCATTACAAAACTGTCCACATACAGGATGAAAACTGAAAGACAATGTGGGTCGCGAAGCGAACTAGAGAAGTTAAGAAATTCTCTCTTTCTATCTTTATAACTTTTGTAATTATTCTTCATGGTGATGTATATATGGGGTAGAAAATCCAGACATTTTTAGATATTTGAAAATTCCCCCCGAACGGAGATATAAGGATCAAAATAGAGGACATGGCTGGGAAAATCTGGATATATGGTAACCCTATCGGCCACCAACACTAGCTCTTCTGCTGAACCTGACAAAGACAGCACTGCTAGTGTTAGCAAGCGTCGGACAATGCCTACAAGGCAGTATGATCCAAATTAACTAAGTGCTCAGTGCTATTTTTATTATATATGTTTGTGAGTGTGTGTGCGCATGCACTCATGTTGGTCATTGAGATTTTCTGTGGTTCCTGATGACTTGGAGGTGGTACTTGGATGCTTTGGTTTGAACAGGGGTGGGACTTGGTTCAAAAGGTTTGAGAACCACTGGTGTAGAGAACAACAGAGGCTTAGTGGCACAGAAAATAGAAAAATCTCGTATAGTACAGGAGGCTTTTTACTAATTAAATTATATTTTGAGATTTGCTTCCACTTCACCACTGGGGAGTTGATGAGGCTGCAGAATGAAATTTATCCTCAGTAATGGTTCGTGTTGTGGGGAAATCTCATTTCCAAATGTTCCAAACGGTGGCACTTCTGTCCACAGAATTCTTTTTAGTTATCCTCTGGAATTCAGAAATAGTCTTGATATTCACACACATGAAAGATCTGGAAAATTGAGCACCATTCTTGCTTTTTTGTGATCAAAATGTCATTTTGGTCATTTGTAGGCTACAAAAGCGGGGATGAGGATCTACAGGCCGGGTGTGAAAGTGGAGGAACAAGAATCGGGTGGCTGGCTTGGGTGGATGTGGAGCTGGTCAGGAGAGAAAGAAACTCCCAAAAAAGAAGCCAAATCTGGAGGTAAGTTGCCTTATTGATCTGAGCGAATCTGACAGTCGCCAGTAAGGTTGAAGAAATGGGGAAAAAGTCTCTGTAATATACATAGTCTTCAAGAAGGGTCGTGTTGCTTTTTTGAATACTGCATTCATTAGAGGTGCACTAATAATGGATTTAAGGTGGCACAGTTTATGGAATGGGTCTTAATAAATACTTGATCAATCTCATAATATTTACTGTAGAATCACAGCATATCCATTCAGTAGAACTGGAGTGTGTTAAGAATTCCTTTGGGAATGACCCAAAACACAGTACGAGGTAAAGCAGTAATAAAGATAAATATAGGAAGGAATATTGGAAGTAAATATAGTCGTTTCAGACATTGATAAAAGTTCTTCAAGGCAATGAATTATTAATGGTGAAAGACGATAGCAAGCATTAGCAGTACAGATTGTTATGGTTTAATCATGTAAATCTGAGGTATGCAAATGACCTAGTAACATAATTAAAATTTGCTACGTGAAAGGAGAATTTTCACTAATCTGTCAGTAGAAATCCAGTCCCACGCCTGCATTAACAGGGCATTAACAGATTAAGTCTGACAGTCTTATGTAGTTCTAGTTGGAAAGATCTGATAAGAAATACATGCTTTGTCCTTATTTTGTTTGGCTTCTTTGTTCATCGTGGTAAACCAGTAGAATTCAAACACAATATGCTAAGAATCCTCCAGTCCTTTAAGTGTCATGCCTGAAATCTGTTATGTATTTTCTTTCTTCCCATTTTTGTCTTGGGAAAAGCTACAGTCTTGTAAGTGTTAAGGAATTTCAGTCTTTTAAATTAAGATTGAAATACCAAAGTTTTTCACTTTATAGCTATACTACGGTCTTTATTCAACATTTGTTTAACATTATTCCATTGTAGATTGTGCTCCATTTCATCCCATAAATTACACAACATAACATTAAATTTAGTGAGGTGTGCTTCTCATCCTTTTCAAAAGGATGGTTTCAACCAGGTTGCCATTACCGTCATAAACAGTTCCATATTGAAAAAAACAACAAATCAAAGATATTTTTATAACTCTGTTTCAGGGTTTGATGAGCTGATGACACCTGCAGAAAAAGCTAAACTGTACCAAGCAATCGGATACAGTGAAGCTGCTGTTGATCCCACCCTGCCAAAAGATGTGAGTTACTTTTTATGCATCATCTTTAATGATCTGTTGTCATGAACAGATTTAAGAATATAATACAGTATATTTTAAATACCTATTGAAAACCTGGTACAAAATACCAGGTAACATTTAATGGCCATCTCTCTAAAAGCATTATTCTGTACATAAAACCTTTGTAGACAACTATGATATCATTGTGTACAAAAATTAGCCGAATAAAAGGAACGGCTTAACATTTTGGATCATTTTATTTTTTACAGTTTGAAGACAAGAAGATTTCTTTCCAGTTGTTGAACCTGTCCATTTCAATCAAAGAAAGTCAGAAAAAGGTGGACATCATCAAACTTGCTGTGACTGACTTAAGTGCAATGCTGACACAGAGGCCTGGTGCTCAAGCAATGAAGTATGTGTGAAATTTTCCTGTCTAAATTAGGCTTTTACATCTCATGTAATGATTTCTACATGAATTGTTAATCCAATTAAATGAACCAAACCATGCGAAATGTAGTTTTTTAGTAAAATGTGCAGACCTTAGGTTTTGATTCTTTTTAAATACATCTCTCACACACTCAGTTGGTTTCTTTCCCTGGCACTAAACTACAGTACAGTAGATCACATTTTTTATGTTGCATGTTTATTACTCAAGATTACTTTATTGACACCCTGCACATTAATTACAGCCTCTTTAGGCATAACGTATGCTGGAGTGTATTTTCCTTAACTTTTTATTGCATTACATTTATTAATGCAGATTGTTAGGCTACTCTTTTTAACAATGCGTTTCCCAATTTATTTTACCAGTCATCTTTCACAATGTGCTGTTCTGTAGAGTACAGTTATTGTCTGCAGCTCACCTTTGAGAAGGTATTAGACTAATAAGTATTTAGTGTATCCATTTGAAAACCACCATTTTGAATGGCAATGCATTTTACACACAGATTGAATGAACAATTTGAATGATTCAAATGAACAATTAAGGGTTTATTCCATGCTGAAAGAGTATTTCTGATGGCCAGTTACTTAGTTAATTTGTCACAATGTGCATTTTTCACCAGGATTTGCATATAGAAAGGTAAAGTTCTGTTAGAAGTAGTAGGCAATCTGGTTGCTTCCATGTTTGTTCCATGCTGGATAAGCAACTTGGGAACTCATCTTGGTGTATTTCATGCTTTTTTCTTCTTAAGAAATGTAGAATTCTTCTTCATCGTCTTTATCTTTATAAGGTATAAATACCTTTATATTCTTAAGTTTAAGAATAAAATTGCTTTGATATCTGTATTTTGGAATTTATCCTTTTAGAATATCTGCAAAGTTGAGTTCATTTGAAGTCACAGGCTTGCCAAGGAACAAACTGGTGCCGACCCTGCTGTCGTCACGAAATGTAGCCCTAGAAAACAAGAATCCACTGCTGAGCGTCATGTTTGAGACCAACCCTGTCGATGAGAGTGCAGACCAGAGGTTAAGAATAGAGTCTCAGCCTCTAGAAATTGTGTACGATGCTGTGAGTATCTCTAGGTATATTTATTTGTATTAAAAAGAGGCTCACTCAACTGAATGAGTAAATTAAAAGGTTAATTGTCCTCCAGCACATACAGTACATTAAACATCATATGTTTCAAGAGGAAGTCATATTCATTTATAATGAACACTGATACTAAATGTCTTGCTTGAAAAATATATATACTTTTATTTTATAATAGTCATGAAGGAATATTTTCAGTGTGTGTTCCATGTATCATGCTAATCATGCTAATTTGTCCTTTTTTTTCAGTTGACAGTGAACAGCATGTCAGACTTTTTCAGGCCACCTGAAGAGTTGCAGCTTGATGAACTGACTTCTGCCACTTTGATGAAATTGGAACAATTCAGGGACAGGACATCAACAGGTGAATGTTGAAAATGTTCAATTCTGAATTCCAGAGTCTAAGGAATGATTTTGGTAGTGTTATTTAACGTGAAGTTATATTTGATTCCTAGTTATGAGGTTAAGGATCAAAATGTGCTACCAAAGCTCTGTACATAATTGCTATTACTAGTCATGCTTTTGATAAACCTTAGACAAAATTAAGATCATATACTGTAGTTTAATGGCATATGCATTTTAGTAAAAGTTAAATGTAATTCCGTAGTGAAAAGTAGAAAGAAAATAAAACCGTATTTTGGCTTCAGAGCCTATTTAGGTGTGCTGTTCATTCTGTCCATTTTCCTTCTGCTTTTCAGCATGAAAGTAATCTCTATTTGTTCCTCTGTAGCTTGCACACTTCCATAGCTCCGCTCTCAAATCTTTCATTTATACCCACTTTGCAGCTGAAGGTAGTGTAGTAAAAGAGTTACTGCCACAAGGAATCCATAATTATTTGGCTAGCCAATAGACTTCTTCTATGTGGTGAATTTTTTATGTTGAAAAGCACGAAAGGATAAAAGGTTATGAGCCCCAGGTCTCTGACACTTATCCATAAATTGATGACACACTGCTGGAGTCCTTTGAAGCTGTGAAAAGAGAAAAGATTGATGCTCAACCACTGATCTCACTCAGGATGAGGGCTGGATCAACTTCAAGAGCTTTCTACGTCATGTCGGTCACTACACCACACTTTCTTTTCATTCTGTTGTACTGTATATGTCATCAGTCCCACACAGTGCCATTCATGGAATCTTAAAACAAGAAGTTTCTGGATAGAAAAATTACTGTTTATGTTCAGGCCTTTTTGGATCATGTAGTTATTACTAACGGTAACGGTAATGGTCATCCAGCACATTTCTTGGTTTTTATGAGGGCTGTAGCTAAGAGCTGGTTTCGTCAAGCAGCTGATATAAAGCCTATTTGTCCTTATGCAAATTGTTTTTTTTCCTTTGTATGAGTTAAATGGTAGAAAGATTCAAATAAATTAACATGCATCAAACAATGTTCTTGCCTCTAGTGATTTACAGTATATTAAAAAAACAGTAGCAGGTTTGTTTTTTTTAATTCCTGTTGCTGTGTTAATGCTTTAGATGTACTTCTTTTGACATTTGATCGGATTTTCCCGTTTGCATTTAATGTAAATTGCCTGCATTCACTTGTTACTGGATGAAGCAATACCACCAGTGCAATATCCACTTAATGTAATGCAATATTTCCATGTTTGAGCTTGTTTTGTAGTTAGTACTAATGAAAGAAAAACCCAATTACCTTGGTATCATATTTATTTAGCATACATTTAGTAAAAATTATTTTCTATGGACAGTTTTAACTTCTTTGGGGTAAATATTGTGGGTTTCATATAAGATGTATTGTCTTTATCTTTAGGCCTTATGTATGTTATTGAGACACAGAAAGTTTTGGATCTGAAAATAAACCTCATGGCTTCATATGTAATTGTTCCACAAACTGGCTTCTATGATTCTTCAAAAAACCTGGTAGTCTTGGACCTTGGACATTTCAAGGTAAATGGGTTTCATTTTGTTTTTTATCAGAAAGTTTTTAGGAGGTCTTTTCATGAATAATTGGTGTTTATGTTTTTATATAGGTCACGTAATTGACTTTAGACACTGTTTAGATGGTTTACGGTTTATGTTGCTTAGAAAAGGAAAGGTAAATACTTTATTGATCCTGTGAGGGAAAAGGGAAGAGTTGTGAACAAATGTAGTCTCTCTAAGAATATTAACTTTTCACCTCTTTTTTTGTAAAGGTCACCAGTAAAAGTCGCAAAGATCTGCCCCAGCTAACAGTGGGACAGAGCACTATTGAGGATATTATGTCTAGAGCCTATGACAGCTTTGATGTGCAGCTAAGCAGTTTGCAGTTGCTTTACAGTAAACCAGGTAAGTTTTTGGAAAGCATGCATTTATTTTAAATGCAAATGCATAGCCTACAGTATTAAAGGCAGATCTTTGGTTGCAATTTGGTACACAGTTTTTTGCAAAGTCACTGGTGTGCTCATACAGTAAGTGTTTTCTGTAAAGAAATGATCCACTTTGACAGGATGTCAAAAGTGTTTAATGTAGGTTTTCATATGCAGAGCTTTAGCTTCTCTTCTGATGTTACAAGGTTCATTCTTCACTATTCTAATTCCATTTTATATAGTGACAGATCCTTCTCCTTATCTGTTGGGCTCTGGAACAAAATGCAGCAAAAAATGTTCCTCACATTGTCTCAAATGTTTGACTCGCCTGTGATCAAGACAGAATCTGGTCTCATTAGACCAAAATACCAGTAGTTGATGATTCACTGTAGTTGAGCACAATCCTATGTGAATTATCCCTGGATGCTTTGGCTTTGAAAACATTTTATATCCAGATTTATTTAACCAGGAAAAAGTACAATATACCATAAATCACATTCTGTCATAGCAAGTAAGCTAGTAAGGGACAATTGAAAAAATCATAAGCAAAAATTTATAGCATTAGCAACGTGGTCATACATACTTACTGTTTAGATCATTTACAGGCTAGTCAGATGTAAACTATATAATCACAAGGAAAATGTAAAGAATATGGGAATTCCAATATTGAGGTGCCCAAAGATATACTGTACTTCACACTATTTGATCTCAAATTGGGGATCTTGATCCATGGAGCAAAATAAACAGATATAATTGTGTAATTTTACTGTAAGTGAACAGTAAATTACACAATTACAATTGTTTATTTTATAAATATGGTAAATATTTTGAGATTTTCTTTTCAATCTTTTTAATAATTCATAAAGAGTACAGCTAGGGGACCACAGCTTAAGGATCTTCTGAAGTGCCTCTCAACGATAAGTGATACCTGAGCTGACTGTTTAGAAATTCCTGTTATATTTGGAACGACATTGCTGATTTGTACAGTTCACGAAAGGTCACTTCCAAGGTTATGAGAATATGGTTATATTGCCAGTGGTTTGTTTCTGACTGTACATGCAAAGAGGTCATGATGCTGATGTCCCACTTCCAAGCATCGTTGATGCAACTGCTAATGGCGTCATTACTTCTGCAATATCTACTATGACTTCTGCCATTGGTTTTCCAGTGTCTTGCACAACGTAAGACAGGGCCATTTTATTTATAATCTGATGTGGCACATAAAATTCAACAAAACATATACATTTTGTAATGAGTGATGAATGCATGCAAAGTGATCAATTAAAGGAGTAGAGACAAATGTAACATGACTGTCACAATCTGAAATATTGATCAAAACGCAGAGTTTTACATACCAGTCATATCCAGCTTCTAGTCCTTGAGAACCAGAATATGATGCTGTAGAAAATGATGATTTTTGTGGACCTGCGATGGACTCGCATCTTATCCAGTTAGGGGTGCAAATGTGTGCTCTCGTTTGTCTTGTGCTCTATTCTTCCAAGATTTGGCTTCATGTTGCTGTCATGCTAAGTTCTTTGAATAATCATTGAGATCAAAGCAGCATTTCTATTTAACTGGGTTTGGGAAGTGTTGCTTATTTTGTTAACTGGATTAAATATTTTGCTTATCCCATGAGTAAATTAATGTTATGTCCATGAGTTAATTTGTGATTGAATTGAATATGCATTACGTTCTTTAAGTGCCATACACACACAATGTTGATCCACCATTTCAGATTGCAAGGTGAAAGGAAAATAAAAGCTCTCAGAATTTGTTTAAAAGGAACAGTCATTTTTCATAAGTTCTGATGTGAAAATAGTGCTTTGTAACCAGATGTATACAGTACTTCTCCGTGTCTAAATAAAATATACTTTTTCAAGTAATTTTAGTAAATTTGCAGTGTACATATTTTTGTTTCAGATGAAAATTGGAAGAAAGTGCGGAAACTAAAACAATCCCCTCTTCACATTTTGGAACCTGTTGATTTGAAAGTGATCTTCAGCAGAGCTATGGTTGTAACAGATTCAAGAATGCCTAAGTAAGTTCTTACTTGGTGCACCCCTTACCATATATACATATAACTGTGTATGTAAATTAGACATGTAATCGTGCTGAACATATCACTTTTGGTCTTCACTGCGTTTTTTTATGGCTAAAAATTTCTGAACATTATTTCAGACTTTTTACACACTTTAAATGTAGAGGTCTGGTTCTGCCACCTAGAATCCGAGTCATAGCACACATGTTTTAGCTCAAAATGATAGTGATAACAATATGGTGGCATAGTTCCAACCTTTGTTTGAATTTCTAAATTAAATTAAAGGTATAAACTGGTCAGCTTTTGATGGGAGACATTTTCCATGTCTGATACTAACATGGAAAAATATGCTGTGTCAGTTATTAGTGAGTTAATTAAATGTCTTCAGGATCTGTCAAAATAACTTAATGAAATCAAAACAATTGTGTTTCCGTTTACCAATGTGGTAAACAGTGTCACAGCTTAAATAAAAACTGACAAAACCCCTGCCTTGTAAAATATGTTTTCTAACTTGTTTGCTTAGAGATTACAGATAATTTTGATGAATGCATTTTGTCTGCAATAAGGTCATATTTAAAGGTGGTATTTCACTGATATATTTAGTGTTATTTGGAGGTGTATATGGATAAACAACAATTCTGTTGAATTCAGTAGTTTCAGTATATATCTAAAAATCATTGGATATTATGGAACCATAAGGCTTTATAGTTTTGAGTTCAGTTGAACCTTATAGTTCAATTGAACTTTGTAGTTTATAGTTTTGGTACAATTGAACCTCAGGGAGTCTACTTCAAATATACCATAAACTATTGGGGATTGTCTTGTTGCTGCAGACTTGATCAAACATTCTTAGCCAGATTTGATGACTATGCATCTTTGCAGTTTGGTCTGAGTTTGTATTTCTCTTCCCTGTAGATTCAAAGTGTCGGGCGAGTTGCCCTTGCTTTCGGTTCGCATTTCGGATGAGAAGGTGAGAGGTGTGCTGGCATTAATTGATAGCATCCCATTTCCAGAAAGTCGTCCTGCCCCACGTGCCTCTACATCTCACAGTGCTCCCAAGGTAAACAGAGTTTTTTTTGTGTGCTTTTAAAGTACTCCTACTTGCCCTGATATAACATTACAAGAGGTTATTGTCTTAAGTAGCATTATTCTACACGTTACACTGTTGTGCTACAATAGAAATTCTAAGGACCTTACAAGTTAAAAGTAGATTTAGGCTATTGTGTGAAATATTTTGTTTATATCCAGATTAAGCCAAGGTTTCCTTTTTATAACCTTACATTGCCACTTAGTGATCACATTGCACATGTGGTTGACCTTTCTTAAGCTATTTGGAATCCATTTTTTCCTTCAGATTATGTTTGCCTGTTTTGCTGGGGGCATACAGTATGTGTATTGAATGAATGACTTTAGAGACACTGATGTATTCATTAGGGTCTGTAAAATGATAGTGTGTCCTCTTCTTTCACTTTATTGCAGGTTGCCAAACAAACATTTACTCCTCAGTTAACACCAAGAAACCAGCCCATGGCTAGTCTTCGATCTTCCATAGTTTTTGAGTCAGGTGTGGTTTCATTTTTACGCTGT